GTGGTGCCGATCAGGATAGTAGAAATAACTTGTAAACTGGAAACATTCTGCGGTTTAGTCCGTAGGAAGTCAACCATGTAAACGGGTAGATGAAGAGGGTAATCCGAAGTTTTCATACTAGAAGAGAAGAAAAGAGACTTTGTGAAAGTATGGTCTCTTGAAGAAGAGAAAAAGTACAAATACGCATTCTAAAACGATAGTCCAGAGTATCCTGACTGATTTAAGCACATAATGGTACAATATGGTACAGGCATGCCATGCCACCAGATCAGTGTTAATCGTATGCCTACCAAACAAACTGCAAGGAATGTACAAGTTTGCCCTCCCTGTATAGTAAGTGTATGTGTACAAATCAATTTGCAAGGGAGTGTACAATGCAATAATCTCAGAGTGAGAACTTACCTGTAGGGTGGGTTCCAGAGGGAAAATATTCGCCTCCTGTCTTTAATAAAATTTAGATTATTCGTTCACTGTAAAGTAGAATAATCCCTAATTTTATGGCAAGACAAGAGGCTTCATATTTGCTGTTTTAACGCTCTTGAATAAAGGAACAAGCCGCATGTGGTGTTGGTTTAAAATAAAAGGTGCGAAAAGTAGATTCTCTTGACCAATCTGCGGAGGCTAAAATATCCGCCAGTGAGCTGCCTGCGCGGAACGCGGAGGATGCGGCCGCTCCCCTAACGGAGTGAGCTCCGAAAGAGCTATCAATTCCTGCTTGGGTAAGCAACCATCTCACCCAGCGTGCAATGGTGGGGGAGGAGACCGGTTTGTGAGGTTTAACGTAAGAGACAAACAGAGGTCCGGTAGGGGGACGCAAAGAGAAAGTGTTGTCAATGTAACAACGGGTGCACAGGGCCACACAGAGTGACGGCCTATCGGGAAAGTATGGATAAAAGACTGACGAGGAATTCGTCTTAGTGCGTCTAGTAATGGTAAATCTGACACCGTCTGGTGCAAAGGTGACATCGTGAGAGTCAAAAGCGTGAACGTCTGAAACTCTGCGGAAGGACACCAGACACAGTAGCAAGGCCAATTTCGCAGAGAGTTGGCGTAAGGATAAGGCCTCGTTAGGTGGCCAGGAATCCAACAGTGTGAAAACCTTAGAGACATCCCAGAACGTAGAGTGTTTGGCAGAAGGTGGCCTCGTCAAACGAATGCCCCGTAAAAGTCTGCACACGGAAGGGTGTTTCCCAACCAAGAAATTGTCAATAGTGTCATAGGCCGCCGAAATGGCGGAACGAAAAATATTAATCGATCGGTAAGATTTACCCTGATCGAAGAGAGATGATAAGAGGTTTAAAATGGGAGAGAGAGGTGTTGAAACGGGATCGAGGTCCCTCTCCAGACACCAGCTAACACAACTCCGCCAAGCGGAGAGGTAGGTTCGTCTGGTTCCTGGAGTCCATGAGTCCCAGAGGAGTGTTTGAGCTGTGCGTGAAAGACCTGTGACATGCCAAGCTCCCCTGAAACTGTCCAAGCTACCAATTGAAGATGGCCCTGTAGGGCAAGAGGATGGTAATCGCCCATTGGGTTCCTGAGGACTCAAAAGGAGTGAGGAAGAAGGATGGGATAGTCTACTGATAGTTCCAGGAGGGTAGGGAACCAGGTCTGGGCCCTCCATAGAGGGGTGATTATTACTACCCTGACTTTCTGCTCTTTGACCCAGTGAAGGGTCCGTTGAATCATCAAGAAGGGAGGGAAAGCATAGGCTCCCGTGGCCAAGGTTGCAGAAAAGCGTCGACTGCCAGAGATAGAGGGTCTGGTAGCCAGCTGAAGAAATAGTCTGTCTGACGATTCAGGCGAGATGCAAAGAGGTTGAGTGTGAGAGGTCCCCGTAGGAAGTGGATGTGATGGAACAGGAGAGGGTCTAATTGCCAGTCGCTGGCATCCCTCCAATGACGCGAAACCAGTCCGCGACTAGGTTGTCGGACCCAGGGAGATACTCCGCTCGGATGGACAGATTTCGGTCCAGACAGAACTGGTACAGGTCCTTGGTGAGGTCGGACAGAAGTTTGGATTTGGATCCTCCGAGTCGGTTGACATACCGCACTGCGGAGACATTGTCCATCCGTAGTACCAGGGAGCAATTGGAGGCGTCCTTGGCAAAGCTGCGGATTGCGAAAGATCCAGCAATGAGCTCGAGACAATTTGTGTGGAGAGCCTGTTCCGATGGGGACCCCAGACCTCCTGTGGAGGTTTGGGCACACGTAGCACCCCAACCCAAGAGGCTTGCATCGGATTTGTCAGAGTATTTATATCGGCAGACATTTTGTGCTATGATAGAAACTAAAAGTGTATATTCTGAGTCACTCTGAACAGACCAGACTCCATTTTGTTATTTCAAGTTAACAAAGAGACACAGTATTTCTATCTGTAAGCTAACCACTTTCCCAGAGCTGAGGAATGCATAGTATATACAAGCCAAGTGATAAGGAAGGGGGTTGGACAGACTGTCTAATGCTAAGAAGAATATAATCAAATCTAAACCCAGACAATTGTGACAGAGAAGATTAAATAATTTAATATTTAACTGTCTATATATATAAGGTACCATTGTATGGAAAAGGGTAAACTTAGTTCATGATCTGTCATATCAGAAATTATGGCAGGAATTGCAGACGCTAAGTCTGGACAAAATTTAAGAAACCCTTTGAAATTTTAAATTATGGCGCTATAAAGATAACGCAAAATGACGTCAAAATAGCCACCAGGAAAAGTTAACTCTTTCCTGGATAGGTATGTTTAGTGGGACAAGACTGCCCTCTATAGACCAAATACCTAATTTGCGTTCTAGAAGATAACCACACCTCTAGTGCTTCTATTGGGTTATCAACTGATGACGTACAGAGAGTCTGGCCCTTTAAAAGTTAAGACAAAGGGAAGATAGAGATAAATAAGAGATACGAAGGGGCAGATGCAAGATATGCAAAGGAGAGAAAAGAGAGGAATTGGAAGTTTGGGGACTCCAACCTCCATGCAGAGACACATCCAAATAAATTCCTGAGACTACCAATCGGATGAAATATCTACTCAACTGGTAATTATACTGGTTTCATTTAATTAAATTAAATTAATTAAAATATATTAATAGCATTATATATGACTGGATAAAGCACGGTCAGATTTCCATATTAAGAAATCTTAGTTAACTAAGAATATATAGTTATAACCATTCCATTCTGCAGGTGGAATTAAGAATAATTATATATTGATGTGATATTATCACATGTTAGCATACCGCTGTTTTTATCCAGGTGTATTGATTTGCTCTAAATTAAGATAGATATCTTTTAGACAAATTAAAAATCTGCTTATATAATATGTAGATTCTCTTATTGGATTGTTTTCAGGAAATGGCTAATGAATTTAAACTGGTTTAAATGTTATTTTATTTAAAAATTACATCAGAATAGATCTTAACTACCTAGGAGATCTAGCCAGCATTGAAAGGGTTATTCTAACTGTCTGCGAAACTTTACGACCTTACGCTGCGCTCTGAGGAATTCTGTTCTTCGCTGTGAAAAGTTTCACTTTCAGCCTGTGTTAAAGATAGTCATAAATAATTCTTGACAGATAATGCCGTTTAGCCATTGAAACGTAATACCCATTCCTTTGTATTGCATATAATTTTGTACTGGATATTCATTGATTATTGTCATGCATGTTACATAATATTATTTGTTAATTATTGGTTATCATAAATAAAATCTATTTTTATACATTGTGATATTATTATATGAAATACATTCCACTTAACACGATAAACGTTCTTTGGGATCTGAGAATTGAAATAGTGGGCAATTCTCAACTGTTACTATTATTATCCCATAAATATCCCCACAGATTCCAGAATAAAATCTGGTTGAGACCCGAAAATCGCTTTCCCATTCCAGGCTTCCATGTTGCGAAGCCACCAATGAAGTTCGATGATAACTTCGTCCGTCAGAGAAATGAATTGATCATAAGAGGTTGAGCGATGCAAGTAGGTTGTTTTCAACCGTTGCATCGCTCTGTAGTGTAAAGGCCCGGGAAATATAGCTTGAATTGATGCGGACAGGAGACCCAGAATGTGTGCACGGTCGCGGAGCCGAGGCTGTTGCGAAGAAAGCAACTTTTGGATTTCTTTCTTTATGTTTTTTATTTTGGGGTAAGGCAGCTGCAAAGTTGCCTGGACTGAGTCTATTTGAAAGCCCAGAAACTGGACTACCTGAGATGGTTCCAGGTCTGATTTCTGGAAGTTTATGACAAAGCCAAGGTTTTGAAGGAGAGCAGAGGTCATGTGCGTATGTTTGCGAAGCAAATGTTGGTCTTGGGCCATGATCAGAATATCGTCCAGATATATGATGGAACGTATTCCCCGAGAGCGGAGTAGTGCCATGACCGGCTTCATTAACTTGGTGAAACACCAAGGGGCGGAGCAAAGTCCGAAAGGAAGGCAGGTGAACTGCCAAATTTCGCCCTGCCAGAGGAATTGAAGGAACGCACGATGACTTGGTGCGATTGGGACCGTGAGGTAAGCATCCTTGAGGTCGAATCTGGAGAACCAGTCTCCCACGCAGAGTAGGTCCCTGAGAAGATGGATACCTTCCATCTTGAAATGGCGATATGTGATGAACTGATTCAGTTCTTTGAGGTTGATAATAGGACGGTGATCTCCCGTCTTTTTCCGTACCAGAAACATGTTGCTGATGAAAGTGTAAGGGAAAGGCGAGGGTTCGATCGCCCCTTTGTCTAATAGTTTGTGCAACTCTGAATCTAAGGTTAGTCTATTCCAATTACGTTGCCTAGCTTCAGTACTTAAATTTCAAATTCTCTAAGATTATTTGATGATTTTTTTATCTGTTTTCCTATGAGCTCAATAATAGTTTTAGTTTGCCTCAGGTTAATTTTCCTTTAACACATTTTGTTTAATTCAATATGTCTTTTACAAGTGTCTTTTATTTTCCCTTTCAGTGGAATATGTCCTCTTTTATTATACTGCTCTTAAGTAGCTTACACCTTTAATTACAGGTGTAAGCAGTTTTCGGCCGCACAAAGCATCTGCCCGCCGGGTTTTTTTCCTCCCCTCCTCCCCTCCTGTCAGGAAACTACCTAGTGAGGGACTCCATTTCCCAGGAGACCGTTGGTCTCCTGCTACAGCCTTCGCGCCCTAGTTTCCACTGTTGGAAAAAAAGGGTTAATCGACCTGCAATTGACACATTTTTTAAATAAGTAAGGTCCATTACCTGAAGCAGTGCGTCCGCGCAGGGATGCAGAGCCACGTCCTCGAATAGAGCCTCTGGAGCTGAAGAGCTGTCTGTGGTAGGGTCTTGTGGGTCCAGAGGACCAATGATCTGTGGGTCGGGGCCTGTAGCCTGCAAAGGCTGCTCTACTGGTAGCTCGGCCCCTGAAGCGACCAGCTCTCCCGGAAAAAAGATGAGTTTGGGAGCGGAAGACCCTGCGTAGTGAGGACTGGGCTTTATTAAGCATTGTAAATACAGAGACATGCTTAGAGAGGTCTCGCATAAAGCTGTCACCAAACAGAAGACCATCTGCGTCTGGTCCCAATTCCTTAGAGCTTAAGTCTACTAATTTAGCGTAAATTTTATAAAGTGCCGCTTTTTGTCTTTCTATTGAAATTGCCACGTTTGCATTGCCTAATAAGCAAAGAGCTCTCTGAGCCCATTCTCTGATAGTGTGTGGATCGAATTCACCACTAGTGAGTGCCTCATCTGCCAGGATAAAAATCTGGATTATGGGACCTGAAATGTCCAAAAGCTTGTCTTGGGCTGCTTTTAACCCTTGCTCTATACCCTTACGTGGGTCTTTGCCAGATTTAGTCAAAAAGGTGACCAGCATGGGGTCGTATTCAGGGGTAGAGGCAACTTTGCCAGGAATAGTAGGTCTTGGGCATTCAGCCCTCAATTTATTTCTGAATTCTTTTTCGAGGGGCTTGCGAAGCCACATTTTGCAGTAACTGGCAATGTGATCAGGAGGGGTCCATTCTGCAGACCGTGGGTGACGAATCACCCTTGTATCCAAAAGGGGAAGGCCTGAAGCATCCAGGAGGGTGTCTGAGGCAGGCTCTTTAGTTGGAGGGGCACCTTTAGCATCTTGAACATGAAAGGTTTCCTTAATAAACTCTGATGTTGAAGAATCCTGGGGCATATTCACCGTAGGATCCTCATCAGAGTAGGTGGTGTCATAGTCGTTTAAAATATGACCAGCCAGTCTGGAAGTAGAGCCCTCTAGAGGGTCTGACGGGTTCTGCATAGTAAATGTTTGAGAATGTTTGAAGATTTTCGCAGGAGCTTTGCCTTTGCCTGCAGTAGCGCTATTCCCTTTCCAGGGTCTTTTGCGCGGGGCACTTTCTTGGTCTGAAAGGTGAGAATCCTCTGAGTCAGAGGGTTGGCGTGTAGAGGGATGAACCTCTGTAGTAGATTGCTCATGATAAGCTGCCAGAGGTTTGGGAATGGACTCTGCAATGGTGGCAAATAGCCAATCCCGAAGTTCTGCAGAAATAGCAGGGTCTTGGTGTTCTGACATTTTAATGTTTAAATTATGGGATTGACAAAGGGCAGATTAGTAACTACAGGTAAGTGTAGTAAAATTATAAGGCAGTGTTGATAAGTGACAAAAATGAGGCAACTCAACTAGTATAATGGAAAGGTGGGGGTCACCACACGAACTGAAACCAGTGGGGGTCACCCACAATTATTAGGCACAATAAAGAAAGGGGGTCACCCTTTAACAAATGGTGAACAGCAATAAAACGTATATATATATTCAGATAAATAAGCCCAATGAGGTAGGGTTGCCCACTATAGAGGACCCTGTCAAACCAAAGTGGGGGTCACCCACTATTTTAAATAACAAAGTGGTATCTGCCAATTTTTTATTTTTTTATAAGCAGTAGTTATGGTGGAGTTAAGTAATAAAAGAAAGTGGGGATCACCCACAAAATAAGCAGAGTGGTGTCAGCCACGCAAAATATTGTTGGCAGTAGTTGTGGTGGGGGTCACCCACAAATGAAACAGAAGGTGGTGTCAGCCACACAATTTTAATAAAGAAAGTGGTACAGTGAATTATCACTTTAACATAAAGGGGGTCACCCAATAGTTTAGCAGGCAGGACTTGCTGAGCAAAATAAACCTGCAATGATAAGGAGAGAGAAAGATCAGTGTGCTGATCTTAGAAAGGCAAAACTTGTCGTATGGATAATAAATGGTATAACCAATTAACTTACCTTCCGGGTAAGTAACAATAGTGCCCACAGATGAGGGAAAAACGCAGCGGAGCGAAAAAACGCGAGTGCCGCGATTAAAGATGGCCGCCGCAAGAAGAAGGGGCGGAGCCGCCGTATAGGCGGGAAACCAGTGAGGAGAAAGGGCGCGAAGGCTGTAGCAGGAGACCAACGGTCTCCTGGGAAATGGAGTCCCTCACTAGGTAGTTTCCTGACAGGAGGGGAGGAGGTGAGGAAAAAAACCCGGCGGGCAGATGCTTTGTGCGGCCGAAAACTGCTTACACCTGTAATTAAAGGTGTAAGCTACTTAAGAGCAGTATAATAAAAGAGGACATATTCCACTGAAAGGGAAAATAAAAGACACTTGTAAAAGACATATTGAATTAAACAAAATGTGTTAAAGGAAAATTAACCTGAGGCAAACTAAAACTATTATTGAGCTCATAGGAAAACAGATAAAAAAATCATCAAATAATCTTAGAGAATTTGAAATTTAAGTACTGAAGCTAGGCAACGTAATTGGAATAGACTAACCTTAGATTCAGAGTTGCACAAACTATTAGACAAAGGGGCGATCGAACCCTCGCCTTTCCCTTACACTTTCATCAGCAACATGTTTCTGGTACGGAAAAAGACGGGAGATCACCGTCCTATTATCAACCTCAAAGAACTGAATCAGTTCATCACATATCGCCATTTCAAGATGGAAGGTATCCATCTTCTCAGGGACCTACTCTGCGTGGGAGACTGGTTCTCCAGATTCGACCTCAAGGATGCTTACCTCACGGTCCCAATCGCACCAAGTCATCGTGCGTTCCTTCAATTCCTCTGGCAGGGCGAAATTTGGCAGTTCACCTGCCTTCCTTTCGGACTTTGCTCCGCCCCTTGGTGTTTCACCAAGTTAATGAAGCCGGTCATGGCACTACTCCGCTCTCGGGGAATACGTTCCATCATATATCTGGACGATATTCTGATCATGGCCCAAGACCAACATTTGCTTCGCAAACATACGCACATGACCTCTGCTCTCCTTCAAAACCTTGGCTTTGTCATAAACTTCCAGAAATCAGACCTGGAACCATCTCAGGTAGTCCAGTTTCTGGGCTTTCAAATAGACTCAGTCCAGGCAACTTTGCAGCTGCCTTACCCCAAAATAAAAAACATAAAGAAAGAAATCCAAAAGTTGCTTTCTTCGCAACAGCCTCGGCTCCGCGACCTTGCACACATTCTGGGTCTCCTGTCCGCATCAATTCAAGCTATATTTCCCGGGCCTTTACACTACAGAGCGATGCAACGGTTGAAAACAACCTACTTGCATCGCTCAACCTCTTATGATCAATTCATTTCTCTGACGGACGAAGTTATCATCGAACTTCATTGGTGGCTTCGCAACATGGAAGCCTGGAATGGGAAAGCGATTTTCGGGTCTCAACCAGATTTTATTCTGGAATCCGATGCAAGCCTCTTGGGTTGGGGTGCTACGTGTGCCCAAACCTCCACAGGAGGTCTGTGGTCCCCATCGGAACAGGCTCTCCACACAAATTGTCTCGAGCTCATTGCTGGATCTTTCGCAATCCGCAGCTTTGCCAAGGACGCCTCAAATTGCTCCCTGGTACTACGGATGGACAATGTCTCCGCAGTGCGGTATGTCAACCGACTCGGAGGATCCAAATCCAAACTTCTGTCCGACCTCACCAAGGACCTGTACCAGTTCTGTCTGGACCGAAATCTGTCCATCCGAGCGGAGTATCTCCCTGGGTCCGACAACCTAGTCGCGGACTGGTTTTCGCGTCATTGGAGGGATGCCAGCGACTGGCAATTAGACCCTCTCCTGTTCCATCACATCCACTTCCTACGGGGACCTCTCACACTCAACCTCTTTGCATCTCGCCTGAATCGTCAGACAGACTATTTCTTCAGCTGGCTACCAGACCCTCTATCTCTGGCAGTCGACGCTTTTCTGCAACCTTGGCCACGGGAGCCTATGCTTTCCCTCCCTTCTTGATGATTCAACGGACCCTTCACCGGGTCAAAGAGCAGAAAGTCAGGGTAGTAATAATCACCCCTCTATGGAGGGCCCAGACCTGGTTCCCTACCCTCCTGGAACTATCAGTAGACTATCCCATCCTTCTTCCTCACTCCTTTTGAGTCCTCAGGAACCCAATGGGCGATTACCATCCTCTTGCCCTACAGGGCCATCTTCAATTGGTAGCTTGGACAGTTTCAGGGGAGCTTGGCATGTCACAGGTCTTTCACGCACAGCTCAAACACTCCTCTGGGACTCATGGACTCCAGGAACCAGACGAACCTACCTCTCCGCTTGGCGGAGTTGGGTTAGCTGGTGTCTGGAGAGGGACCTCGATCCCGTTTCAACACCTGTCTCTCCCATTTTAAACCTCTTATCATCTCTCTTCGATCAGGGTAAATCTTACCGATCGATTAATATTTTTCGTTCCGCCATTTCGGCGGCCTATGACACTATTGACAATTTCTTGGTTGGGAAACACCCTTCCGTGTGCAGACTTTTACGGGGCATTCGTTTGACGAGGCCACCTTCTGCCAAACACTCTACGTTCTGGGATGTCTCTAAGGTTTTCACACTGTTGGATTCCTGGCCACCTAACGAGGCCTTATCCTTACGCCAACTCTCTGCGAAATTGGCCTTGCTACTGTGTCTGGTGTCCTTCCGCAGAGTTTCAGACGTTCACGCTTTTGACTCTCACGCTGTCATCTTTGCACCAGACGGTGTCAGATTTACCATTACTAGACGCACTAAGACGAATTCCTCGTCAGTCTTTTATCTATACTTTCCCGATAGGCCGTCACTCTGTGTGGCCCTGTGCACCCGTTGTTACATTGACAACACTTTCTCTTTGCGTCCCCCTACCGGACCTCTGTTTGTCTCTTACGTTAAACCTCACAAACCGGTCTCCTCCCCCACCATTGCACGCTGGGTGAGATGGTTGCTTACCCAAGCAGGAATTGATAGCTCTTTCGGAGCTCACTCCATTAGGGGAGCGGCCGCATCCTCCGCGTTCCGCGCAGGCAGCTCACTGGCGGATATTTTAGCCTCCGCAGATTGGTCAAGAGAATCTACTTTTCGCACCTTTTATTTTAAACCAACACCACATGCGGCTTGTTCCTTTATTCAAGAGCGTTAAAACAGCAAATATGAAGCCTCTTGTCTTGCCATAAAATTAGGGATTATTCTACTTTACAGTGAACGAATAATCTAAATTTTATTAAAGACAGGAGGCGAATATTTTCCCTCTGGAACCCACCCTACAGGTAAGTTCTCACTCTGAGATTATTGCATTGTACACTCCCTTGCAAATTGATTTGTACACATACACTTACTATACAGGGAGGGCAAACTTGTACATTCCTTGCAGTTTGTTTGGTAGGCATACGATTAACACTGATCTGGTGGCATGGCATGCCTGTACCATATTGTACCATTATGTGCTTAAATCAGTCAGGATACTCTGGACTATCGTTTTAGAATGCGTATTTGTACTTTTTCTCTTCTTCAAGAGACCATACTTTCACAAAGTCTCTTTTCTTCTCTTCTAGTATGAAAACTTCGGATTACCCTCTTCATCTACCCGTTTACATGGTTGACTTCCTACGGACTAAACCGCAGAATGTTTCCAGTTTACAAGTTATTTCTACTATCCTGATCGGCACCACCTAAGAAAGAGGAAGTGGGAGGAGTCTAGTGGCACTATATTGCTCTATGTTGTGTTATGATTGGTTGAATTTTTTACAACTTTATTAACTATTTCTTTGCTGCTGGGAGTTTCAGTAAAGAAAGATAAGCAAATATTCGCTTCCTGTCTTTAATAAAATTTAGATTACTCGTTCACTGTAAAATAGAATAATCCCTAATTAAATAGAATACTGGAGCCAGGCAGAGCAACAGGGAGGTAAGTGACAAACACACAGACTGACACAGATATGCACAAACATTCAGATACACATCCACACACACATATATATTTGTGTATATAGATATATATATATATATATATATATATATATATATATATATACAAAAAAAAAGATAAGTAGCTTGGCACTCACCGTTTCTCCTGCTGTGTAGTTTAATGCCCTGGTACAATCCCGCATTAGCAGATATATTTACCTTGAAAAGAGATGCACTCTTTTCCAGTTTTTGATAAGCAAAATACTATTTTAATCCAAATGTCAGTTTACATTCAGCTTGATCAACGTTTCGACCCGTTTGGGTCTTTCTCAAGACTTTTCAAGGTACATATATATATATAAATCACATTTTTGCCTC